CTAAATTTTTTTTATACTATAACAAATATTCAGTTGGAAGGAAGGAAACCTAAGCCCATGTCGTGGAACTGCTGCAAATATTTGATCTCACGGGAATCTGAAGATGGAGGCTGAACTTGATCATTGTTTTCCCTTCCATTTAATACTGGCTGGACTATTTCTAGATCAAAGAAAATTAACCTTCCTAGGTTATTTTACATTTGCTTTCTCACTTCAGTTCTTGCCTTCAAGACTAAGGGGAAGTTCTGATCAACCCTGAAAAGTTATGCAGCTCCTGAGAGATGGAGGCTCCACCCAAGCACCTCAGTGCAGTGTCCCTGCTGTGACACCCCAAGCAGTGCCTCATACAAGCCTGGCTGCTCAGAAATGCCCTGTACAAAACTGCCATCCCGACCCCCCTGCTTTGACATTCCATCTGCATAAATGCATTTTCTGCTCGTCTTTTGAGGGCCCCTGTTCTCCCCATGCGGCAGGATCTTTATCTACATCCTGTTGCCTACACAGGACATGTAGCATCGTATGCTTTGGAACCATGAGCTTCTCTCCTGCCAGTTTCTTTGTGCATTCCCAGTTCAGGGTGGCACACATCCCATTATTGTGAAAGGTACCTACCTACAAAACTAGAAAGTGGCAGACATACAAGTTGAACAGATTGACCGGATTTTAAAACCTGTGCTTTTCAGCTAAATCACTGAAGTGGCAGGAACATCATTTGGCAATTTAATCTAGTTAACTAACATTTGGCTTTGGGCATCAAAATAATCCCAGGTGTTTATGGAATCTGAATTGATTTGGGGTACTACATAACCTTTTGGGTGGTAAGGAAGTTTAGAGTGCACCTCAGCCCCAGCATTTCTGTCTTATAGATGAAAGCACCTCAGCGATGAAGGGTTTTGTATCAACACATGCACAATTACATCTAAACTTTGCATCTTCCCCACCCATTTTGGGTATTAAACCTAGGGTCTCATCCAAGCCAAGAGCTCTACCACTGAGCTACAACCCCAACTCCCTTTAAAAACATGTGTGTGTGTATGCATGCTCATGTGTTTCAATGCAGGTGCATGTGTGAAAGTCAGGGGACAAGCTGAGGTGTTGGTCTTTGCCTCCTAGCTTGTCTCACAGTCTCTTTGTTCCTTTCCACTGCATACTCCAGGCCAGCTGGCTCCCCTGGGCTGCTAGAGAGCCTTCTGTCTCCATCTCCCTGTCTGTATGCACTCTACCACATCCGGCTTTATGTGGGTTCTGAGTATCAAACTCAGGTCCTCACATCTGTACAGGAAGCACTGTCATCCTCCCAGCTCACCATTTCTTAGGGATGCTCGCTTCTGCTGTCAGTTACTAGCTTACAAGTTATCTAACTTCAGGCACTAATGCCCCAATTTTCTAGGATGTGTGAATATGTGGACCACCTGCATGAACATTTCAAGTATCCTGTAAAAATCAAGCATGCTTCCTATCTGCCTCCCAAGGTAAGTGAAGGCCTAGGACATGTTGTAAACATGCTGCCAGCAGCTGTTGTGCCCTGAACATGGATTACAAAGCTTTGACACTTGAAGAACTGCTTTTCAGTATGTAGAAATTAATGGCTCTTTAATAAATATCAAAACCTTCTGAAGACCACAGCCAAATTATACTGCATTTCCTCACTGAGACCTTAAAACAGGTATTCCTTCTGCCAAAAAACCAGCCCCAGTTATACATTAGTACCCTAATAGGTTTTGACTACAACTTTGTGATCTGAGTCATTTTATCCTGATTTTGTCCAGATTACAGCTCATTTTCACCAATAGATGTTGAGCTATCAAAAGAAGTTTTAATTTCAATAATTAATCCCAATAGTCAATAAAGTATGCCTCTTTGTTCTCAAACTGCAAGTTATTTAAAAACTAACGTTAATTATGGATATGTGCATATCTGTATGTGGTGTGTGTACACAAGTGTGGGTGCCCTTAAAGGTCAGGAAAACATCAGATCAAATGGAGCTAAGTTACAGATAGTTCTCAGTCACTGACTCGGGTGCTGAACTGAACTCTGGTCCTCTGAAAGAGCAGCAAGTGCTTTAAGTGCTGAGCCATCTTTGCAGCCCCCAAACTTATTTCTACAACAATGAATTACTTCTGGCTTAGATTTAAAAAGCATCTCTAGGAACAGCAGAAACAGAAGTTTTTGTTCCAGGTGGATTAATGTGTCCCAATTTGTTGTCTCTGCTAGGATGCAGGCTACTCAACAGAGATGAAGGAGTCGTCCATAAAGAAATACCAATACCCAGATGGAGAAGTCTGGAAGAAACTCCTTACTGCTCAAGAAAACTGAGTGTCTGGCCCTAACACTTTTTTCTAAACTGAAAATGCTTAAAATTTTTTGGATAGTTTTATAAAATTATATAAAGTTTAGCTGCAAATCATATTAACCTCAGGAATCAGTTCATTATTATTTGATTATTTTAACAAGTCAATATTGTTCTTGATTTTAATGCAAATTTAATTTACCTAACCCAAATCCCAGAAAGATGTTTTTAAAATGTCTATCAAGTGCTGGTATCTAGGTATTAAACCATACCTTAAAAATAAGCATGTTACATAATTTGTTGAAATAATTCCTTATTTTATTTAACACCTGGTGGATCGGGTAGCACAACAGAAGGAAAAAGATTTTGTGGATTAGCTCCAAAATGGTTTAGCAGCACTTCTGTTCATCAGTATAAGCATTTTAAAGAATTCACACCCTACTGAAATTAATGGCAACAACAGTATCTCTTCACACTTTCATAACTCTTATAAACCATTAGCCAGGCATGGCACCTCCTACCTGTATCCCAGCAGTCAAGATGGCTGAATGGTTGCCAAGTTCGAGGCCAGCCTTGGCTAAATAGTGAGTTCCAGGCCAGCCAGGGCTGTGGTGTGAGACCTGACCCATACTTCCCCCAAAATAACTAAAAATTCTGTCTTGTCAGATTTTCACATAAAATGCAGCTATACTGAAGTATATCATGGAAAAATAGGAGGAAGCACGGTTTAGTCAGCCCTTCTAATTATACTTTAAATCTCAAGTTTGGGATACCCAGTGAGTTCTAGGCCAACTGGGTACAGAGTTAGACCCTATCAAAAAAAAAAAAAAAAAGAGGGCTAGGGATGTGGCTCAGATGGTAGAGTGCTTGCCTATCATGCATGAAATCCTGGGTTCAATCCTCAGCACCATATAATGTGTGGTGGTACACTGTTGTCATCCCAGTACTTGGGAGGTTGAGGAGGATCAGGAGTTAAAGGTCATGCTCAGCCACATAGGGAGTCCAAGGCCAGGAATTTGGGGAGAGAAAAAAATACATAGATATTTACATACATACACACACACACACACACACACACACACACACACACAAGAGCATGCTAATGAAGGTTTGGTTTCAGGTGAATCTATTTGTGGCAGAAGCTGAGCAGATCAATAGTAACAGAATGTTATTGCCTGATGCAACTCCTCCAAGTTGTGCTCTGACCTCCATACATGTGCACATACATACATACATACATACACACAAAATAATGTGATAAAAAACGTTTAAAAAAACAAGCGGACAAATGCAAAACAGTTCTTTATAACAGTAACATAGAAAACATAACTTTGAATGTTTATAAGTGAACTATATTATAGCTGAGTTTCAGGTATGGAGGGATAGCTTATACAGTTTATGAAACTCACCATCCTTTTTTCTTCACAGACATGTAGTTTTTGCTAAGAGTATACAAATTTTTAGTTCCCTCCCTACTTACAAATCTCAGTTTTTAATGTATTCTCAGTGAATATTTTTTTAAAAGGCAGTTAATATATGTCAATGACAGCTCCTTAGAAAGTAATGAATAGTAACAGATAGGTCGCTGACAGATTTTTGACCTAGTTCATTTTTCCTTTAGAGGAAAAAGAACTTTACCCTGGGCATCAGGCCCAAACCCTAAAGACTGACAATATCCACAGCATCTTTGGAAGCATTCTAAACAGCCATTTCCATTTTAATAGTTGGATGTGGATTATATCCTTCAATCTGAAAGTCTTCAACTTTGAAGTCATCAATAGTCTCAACTTTTCGAAGGATTTTGAGCTTTGGAAAGGGTCTTGGTTCTCGCTGGAGCTAAAAACAAAATCATGCCATTATTTTGCAGTATTTGTACAACCTGCTTCGATTCTGTTCTCATGTCTCCTCCAACAAACACACGAATCTTATCACAAAGTACTAGTTTACAGAGTGATACTGGAAGGCTTTGGTTTTTGTTTTTGCAATACTGTGGACTGTACCTACAGCCTTCGCGAGAGCTAGACAAGCACTTTACCACTAAGCTACATTCCCAGCTCTTTTTACTTTTTTTTTCTGAGACAGGGTCTTGGTCAGTCATTCAGGCTGACCTTGAACTTGTAATCTTCCTGCCTCAGCCTCCCAAGAAAGCTGTGAGTACAGGCTTAAGCCACCAGGTGACTTCTAATAGAGTAAACACAAGGTGCACCCTTGTTTACTTTTCTAGCTGTAACTCACAGTAGCATTCAGCATGGTTTCTTGAGTTCCACAATCTCTAACCCAACTGTCTGTAGCCAAAAGAGAAAGAAAAGAAGGCATCTATGGACAACTGACAAGATGTGAGCCAGGATTCCGGGATGAGTGCCCAGTGGCAGTTAGGATGTGAACAAAGGTCATGACCTCCCCTTACTGTGAGTGTAGAGAGGCAGCTGAACCAACCTGCAGTCACTCTCAAAAAGCCAAGTGCCCACAAAAGAACCTCTTACAGATCCACCCTAGGAAGGGGAAGAGCTTCAACTCTTGTTTTTTTCCCTTGGGGTTCACAACGCATGGACATTCCTGATCTTACTGCTATTTCCAGTTATTATTTGTTGGTGGCTGTACCTTGGGAATTTGAACAGACAGGCTTTTGAAAGTTCAGACTTAAGTACTGTACTTAGCATAGAATTAAAGGCAAACATTTGTATTTCAACTCTCCAAGAAAAAAAATATGAGTTAAAATACCAACTCAGAGAAGGTCTCAAATCTCTTGGCTAGTTGCAGCTCTCCTCCTCTCTGGTACTGGCGCTTAGGACCTTAAAGCACCTGTCATGTTCAGTGCTTATGGTAGCTAAAGCAGGTGTTGGCCTGTCCCCATCAACCTCCCTTCCCTGAATTAAGCCCTGTAGTTGGAGCACTCCACTGTTGGACACAGCATCAAGCAGAGTGCCTGTGACAAAGAATGCCTTGTCAATCAGCCTTTCACCAAGAGAAAGAATATAACAGGTGCATTTCTTACCTGAATTTTCAGTGGCTCGATGTGATTCAGGTAAATATGTGCATCTCCCAAAGTATGTACAAAATCACCTGGCTAGAAAATCCCACAGGACAGAACAGAACGGTCGATATTTTAGTTTTAGTTCCTCTAAAACATAATTTTAAAACAGATTAGCAGCTGACGAGATGTCTCAGTGGGTAAAAGTGCTGCCTAAACTGACAACCTGAGTCTGATCCCTGGGACCCACATGGTGGAAGGAGAGACTGACTCCTTTAGCCACTGACCTATGTGCGCACACACACACACAATAAATAAAAACTTAGAATAAAAACATCAAACAGAATATGCAGTCAATCCAAGGCCTCTCAGAAAAGAACCTGTTAGCTTTCCAATGACAAAAACGCTCCATGGAGGCTTAAAGGTGAGTCAGTTCATGTCTAATTCATATGTATCAAATTTTCTACTAATCAGACTAAAGTCCCTTCTAGGAGTTTAAAGCATTCAGCTGGATATAACCATCCTTTCTGAAAGCAGCCCACCTTCAGGCCTGTGATGTGTGCGATCATGTAGGTGAGCAGGGCATAGCTGGCGATGTTGAAGGGCACACCAAGGCCCATATCTCCTGACCTCTGGTAAAGCTGGCAGGACAGCTCCCCATTCACCACGTAGAACTGGCAGAGGGCATGGCAAGGAGGCAGTGCCATCAGAGGAAGATCTGAGGAGCCAGCAGAGGAAAACAAGGGGTGGTTTTAAAGAGCATAGGTATAGACAAGGTAAAACAGGAAACAGAAGCGAGCCATCATGGAAAAAAACACCGGGCTTCAGTGGCACCCACGACCCACAACTTCCCATCATGTCAAAGTCAGACTATTTCTCCACCCTGGCAGCAATGGCCTGAAACTGATGGAAGCTTGTCCATGAGCATAAGGAACTTGCAAGCATATATTCATGTTGAGGCAACGCTATCCCATCTGAGCTGAAATTAAGGATTTGGGCTGTCTTCAATGGCACCAAATACAAGCTAAATGATTTCACTTGCAGTGGCCATAGCAAAATACCATCCCAGGCACTTCTTTCCATTGTCTATTAGAGACACAAATAACCTTCCCTGGGTACTTAATATACCCTGGTAGTTTAGTTTTACAATCTAGTTAAGTGTTAGCAACAGAGAAGTGAACAAAGGTTACTTGAAACTCATGTGCTCCAAATTAAAATCTTAGGTGTAAATTTTCACAAGCAATTTAACTTTTTCTAGAGTAAGAACAGATATAAATGCATACATGAGGATCATGCGGCTCACCCCACGATATGAAGGTGACAATGGAGCAGAGGTGTGAGCTGCCCAAGGTCACAGTCAACCACACTGGGGGCAGTTCCAAGGGTCTTACAGTGCCTCAGCACACAAGTCTACCTTGCTTCACTTTGGTGAACCAGCCAGTTCATACAAAGGAAGCTGAGGGCCTGGAGAGGTGGCTCAGCAGTTAAGAGCACTGGCTGCTCGTCCAGAGGACCCAGGTTCAGTTCTCAGCACCCACATGGTGGCTAACAACAATGTGTAACTCCAGTTCCAGGGGATCCAACGTCCTCTTCTGGCCTCCACAGGCAATGTACACATGTGGCACATTTACATACACGCAGGCAAAATACTCAAACATAAAAGAAAAATAATAAATAAAATATTGAAAAACACAGGACGATGACTGGGATGCTACCCACCTTTTGGGTTCCAGGCACACATGATGATTCTTCTGTCATCAGGGTTGGTTTTGATGGTATCAATCACTTTCTGCAGCTGGTCTACTCCTTGACCTGAGTAATCTGTAGAATTGTCAGGAGAGAGCATGCACACATAGTAGTCACATGTTAGTCACAGCATCATGAGGTGGCCCTGAGGTCATCTATTACATCATTCACTCACTGCACCTCCCTACCTCATGGTTAAAAGATACCCAGCATATTCTGCACATTTAATAAAAACTATTTTATTATTTTCATTTTGAGTGTATTGCCTGCATGTAGGTAGTTGCATCCGTGTCGTGCAGTCATTTTGCACATTTTGTAGATCATGCTGGGCTGAGTTCCAGGTCCTTTCTGAGTCCCTCGGGTCTCTCAGATTATTAGTGTACTATAATGTCACTTCCTCCTCCTAACTGCCCCTGTTGCTAACTACTGTAGTTTGGATATGTGTCATCCAAGGGTTCATGTGTAATCCTCATTTTCAAATAGTAAGAGAGTAGAAATTTGGGGCTAGAGAGATGGTTCAATGGTTAAGAGCATGTACTGCTCTTCCAGAGGATTCCCAGCACCCAAATCAGGCTGGTAACAACCACCTATAATTCCAGATCCAGAGGATTCAACTTCTCTGGCTTCCATGGGCTCCAGTACTGGTATACATACATATACATATGATTAAAAATAAATCTTAAAAAAAAGGGGGGGGGGTGGAAATTTAATCCAATTATGGTGTTTATATAGATGTGGCCTTTGGGAGGTGATTAGGATTAGATACTTAGGGTGGAGCACCTATGAAGAATCTTAGTGGCTTTATAAGGAGACCATAAGACACACACATACATGCTTCTCTTGTCATGTGATACTCTGTGTCACCTTGGGGCTCTGAAGACTATCACCAAATGTAAGCACTAGAACCACCAGCACTGAGATCCAGTCACAGCTTCTCACACTGTGGGTCCATGACTCCGTAAGGGACCGTGTAACTAAATGTAGGGGTCATGAAAATCTTGGCAACAGTAAAAGATTTCTAAACATGTAACATCCAAAAATTAATTTAAAAATCAAATGCATAATGATATGAGGTGTTTCTGGCAGCGTTCCCTCGCATTGCATTCTGGGACTTCACTGCAGCCTTGGTTCTGAATATAGCCTACACTTTGCACTGTGCATGTTGGCATACCACGACGCACCAACAAATGCTGCCTGAAACAGTTCACCTCAGATTCCACACTATTCTTCATTATAAACTGAAGTGTTTTACTGTACGTACGTTTTCTGGCTTCTAGAAACATAATGCTTTAATTACAGAAAACAAAGAATGTTTTTCTATCATTCCTCAGCATACATCAAATTATTTTGGTTTTGTTACTTTTTTGTTCTTTAAATTTTACGTTTATTATTGCTGTGTATATGCATGATGTGTGTGAGTTACAGGCATGTGTACCATGGTACACATATGGAGGTCAGAGAACATTTAGGGAGAGTCGGTTCTCTCCTTCCACAGTGGGTTCCAGGGATTGAACACTGGTCATTAGGCTTGCACAACAAGCGCTTTTATCTGATGAGCCATCTCACCAGCCCAAATTCATGAATCTTTGGATTATATTGTGTTAGAGTATCCAATTTTTAAAATTGCTGTTTGAGCTGGGCATGATAGCACACGCCTTTAATCCCAGAACTCAGGAAACAGAGGCAGACCGATCTCTGTAAGATTGAAGTCAGCCTAGTCTACCTAGTGAGTTCCAGGCCAGCCGGGGCTACAATGGAGACCCTGTCTCAAAAAACCAAAAAATAAAGTTAAATATAAAAAATGCTGTTTGAATTGCTGACTTTTGGCTTGAAATTAGGACAGAAGTTCTAATAACTTCTGAAATGGCCCTAAACATACTTCTACCATTTTGTACTATTTATGTAAAGTGGAGCTCTCAACATTGATAATTACGAAACCAAACTATCAACTCTGAAAAACATTTGAAAATACCCTATGACCTACAGTATCAAATATTCAGCCAAGATTTAATTCTTTATGTAAAAATCCATCTCCTTAGTTTGCAAAATTTGCTTTTATCTTTAATAAATGCTTGCATGTATACCAAAGAATTGGCTTAAAGTAAATTTTTATGATTTAGTATCAGTAACTGTTTGGCTTGTATATCTGTTTCACGTACCTATATACCTAAGGCCACAGATGTGGCGAAAAGTGATCACAGTGGGCAAAGATTAAGAAACTGATCTAAATAAACCTCTTTTCTACAAGGTTGTGTAGCTTTATAAATATTTTGCTATACTAACAAAAACCAGAATATACTAACCATCTCCATCTCAGTAGTCTTGGATTCTTCCTGTGTCCCCATGCGACTCGGTTTCTGTACCTATCAACCATCCATGTCACATCCACCAACACCGTCTACTGTGCTCCCACAGAAGGCACTATCTCAAATAGAAGCTAGAATTTCACAGACTCCTCAACTAACAGGACCATGCTCAAGAATTGTTCTACCCACACTTCTGCCCAAAATGTCATTATAATTTAGTCACTAGACACACCACTGACTTGGAAATATATGGAAAAAAATCTAATGATTTTAATGATCTTGTACTTTCCTTCCAGTTCTAGTCTCTGGACTTGAACCCCCTGCCTCCTGTTGAGATGGAACTGGAAGCTGACAAGTGATTTGCTAACAGAGCAGAGTTAATTCCTATTCTCTCCTCTGGACATACTTGGGAGGTATGTCAACATTTTAGTAGAGTAGCTCTCACAATCACAGTGTCAAGATGGTAATAGTAAAGGTTTTAAAAGGAAAAATATGAGGAAATATTCTGTATCTTGGTGGTGGTGGTAGTTCCACAAACTGACATGCATTAATATTGTATATACACTCAGAAATGAGTGTGCAAAAACTGCTGGAATCTGATACAGATTGCATCAACAGGGGAAACAGTGGGGGAAACAGTGAAGGGACTCAGCAAACTCTCTACATTAAAAAAGAAATCCTGCTAATTTATATTTTAAAAGAAAAATTTAAAAACAAGACAAACTCCCCCACTGTAATACAATAGTTAGCACTCAAGAACTCTAAGTTACGGCAGTCATTTTACGAGGCCCCTTAAGCAAATAAAAATTAATGAATACCAAGCACCATTGGTAAAATACGACTGTCCTTGAGAAAAGGCCCCAGGACAGCAGTCACAGTCCAAGCATCTACTGCCATTTACATGTAGTAAGTCTGGCCCATACTGCATTCTTAAAAATTGTGATAAACTGGCCGGGCATGGTGGTGCACGCCTTTAATCCCAGCACTCAGGAGGCAGAGGCAGGTGGATCTCTGTGAGTTCAAGGCCAGCCTGGTCTACATAGTGAGTTCCAGGACAGCTGGAGCTACAAGGAGACCCTGTCTCAAAAAGACCAAAAAAAAAAAAAACTGTGATAAACTGGACACAATGGCATCTATCTGTTATCCTACCACTTGAGAGGTAGAGACAGGAGGATCAGGAATTCGAGGCCAGCTTGGGCCACGTGAAACCCTGTCCCTAAATAAATAAATGAATCTCAAAACTCCAGAAGCCAGTCTGGTCTACACAATGAGATCCAGGCCAGCCAGGGCTACAGAGTAACACTCTGTCTCCAAAAAAATAATAAAATAAAAAGATAAAAGTATATAAAAACATTGAATGTACAATTAAAACTATTTTTTAAAATTTTATTATTTATTTTTGTAAATATTTTATTATTTTTATTTTATGTGTATGAGTGTATTGCCTACATGCACCTATGTCATGTAATGCCTGAAGAGGTCAGAAGAGGGTGTCAGATTCTCCTGGAACTAGAGTTATGGACGGTTGTTAGCCACCACATGGGTGCTGGGAATCGAACATGGGTCCTCTACAAGAGCAGCTAGTGCTCTTAACTGCTGAGCCATCTCTCCAGCCCATTTAGTTATTTTACATGTATGTGTGGGCAAGAGTATGCCATGTCATGCATGTGGAGGTTAGTGGATATCCTGTGAGAATTAGTTCACTCCTTCCTCCCCGTGGGTCCTAGGGATTGAACTCAAGTCATCAAGCTGGCTACAAGCCTGTTACCCACTGAGCCCATTTTAACTATTTAAAGAATACAGTTCAGCAACATTAAGTGCACTTAACACCGTATGCAATCACACTGTGCACTTCCAGAACTTTTTCAAATAAAACTCTGTACCCATTAATTCTACCACGCCATGTCCTATCACACCATGCTCCACCCCAACACCTAGCAACCTTTATTCTATTTTCTACCTCTATCAATTTGCCTATTCCTGGTCCACAAAGTGTTTTACAACCTCTGAAAGTTGTCAACATTAAAAACATTTCATGATTGCATATAAATACCCAAATTCTTCCATTTGCTAGATAGGGAATGTGACTATTCCCTTAAGATGAAAAGCATACTGTCCAGGTTTCTGGTCTTTGCCCAGTCACACACATACCCTAATATGCCATTTGCTTTGGAACCTGTCCTAGGGACGTATGAAGCAGGAAGTTCCAAAGACTGGAGATTGGTCTGACATGCAAATGGTGCTACCAAGACAGACAGAGATCCAAATCACAAAATGAGATGTTTTCTTCTTCCATCCCTACAGAGCAGGGAGGAAGGATATCCCAAGCAGTGAACTGGGAAACCAGTGCCACCAAGAGTATGCTAGTGGCTCAGCCTTGCAAAGTAAATGGTAGTCACAAGGCAATCTCTGTCATCTCATCCCAAATGAACTTCTACCCTATACCTCAGACACAGGCAGATCAACCCTGACACTATTGGCCAATGGCACTAATATAGAAAGTTCTAAGCATCCAGTGAGTGTCCAGTAACTGCTAGTCACCAAGAGTGTGATTCAGCTTTCATGAATAGCTGTGGCTTCTCCACCTTAACCCAGCACAGCCTCTGAATGTTACATATCAGCTCCCTTGACATGGACTTCTTATCCCCCAGATTCTACTAATAGATCAAACTCATATGAGGAAGAACACTCAGAAAACCTGAGGCATCACCACCTCCTCACCTGAATCCATATCTTTGTAGTCTGCCCCAAAATGCCTCCACTGGAAGCCATAAACTGGACCCAGGTCCCCTTCCTCCCGAGTGGAGAATCCCAGGCTGTCCAGAAAGTCTCGGGATCCATTGGCATCCCAGATTTTCACTCCCCTGGAGGACAGTTCTTTAGCATTTGTAGATCCCTGGAAGAGAGGAGAGTAGAACAGGCATCCAAGGAGACTGTGAGCCATCCGGGTTGAGGCAAAGAGCCTCCCACCCATGACACACTGGGGGATAAACACCTGACACTGTCCATGTACAGCCTATCTTTAGGCAAGCTAGTCCAGGCCCAGACTTTTGAGGGTTTACAGAATGGTCTAATCTTTCTTAGAACAACCCTCAAGTAATTTCTTCTTATTCCTTTCAACTTTTAAATTTGTGCGTATGTGTATGTGGGTGCAGGTATGAGCATGCTACGGCACATGAGTGGAGGTCAGAGGCCAAATTTGGAGGCTCATTCTCTCCTTCCACCTTAAGGCAGGGTCTCTCTTGTTTCTGCTGCTGCATCACCTACTCTAGGCTAGCTAGCCTGTGAGCTTCCAATTAATTCTCCTGTCTCCACCTCCCATCTCCCGGTAGGAGTGCTGGGATTAGATGACACTACTGAATAGGGCTTTTTATGTGGGTTCCAGGAATTTAAACTCAGGCTGTCAAGCTTGCAAATACTTAGTTTGTTACCCACTGAGTCCTCTCCCCAATTTTCCCCTTTAATGTTCTAAACACATCCAAGTCCTTTAAATATCCTACCTGTTCTGACAGTTGTGAATTGTTTAACCAAACATGGACATCACAAGACTTGTGTAATGTTTCAGGTGCAATCCATTCATGTAAACATACCTGGCTAAAGGATATTTCTAGTGATCAGACTAATCAATGTTAGCTTTTCCAGAAAATGCATGTCACATTGTACGAAATGCGATGCTATTTTATTAATCTATGTACCACTATAAAGCTGTGTTTACTCTCTGTATATTTATACATATATTTGCCAAACACAAAACCTTATGTTTATTTCTCTTACATTTCATCCCATTAGATTGGTCCCCTGACATCCTAACCCATATCCTGATCACATAGGTTATGGATAGACCCCTTCTGCTTCCTGGGTATCATGTGCTCTAACAGCTATCAACAGGGCTTTGATGCCACATGTACTTAGGCCTGGAGCACACCCCTTCCATTACCTCCTCCTCCTCCCTCTTTAGCTTCATCTTATCAAAGAACACACACACAGTTTACCACATGTCAAATGAGGAACAGCAAACACCAGAAAAATGCTTAGAGGTCAGCAGACACCAGTTATGTCATGGCTCCATCTTCCCATAGATAACAAGTTGCAGTTCAGGTCTGCTCTTACTCCAGGTGTATTCTAACCCCTGTATTTGATCAAGTCCCCAATAGAGTAGCTACCAGAGGCCAGTCTGGCCTACCTAGTAAGTACTTAGAATCCTGAAACCAAGGTTTATTTTAAATTTTATTTCTGAGCATCTAGCTTACTTTCTATTTAAAGTTTAATTTTTTTTTTACTTCCAACAAATCATTTCTTAATCTTTTGTGTTGTGTTTTAAGCCTCCCTTTTCCATCGTTTGGATTGGGCTCTAGCTGTTTTACGAATGTTCTACTCTGAGACTTCTGAGGCTATATCTTGAGTCAGGGGCTGTCAGTTGAGAGGCCAGCACAAAACAATATACCCGAATACTGAACAGGCAGACTATATCCAACTTCAACTCTTACTAAAACAGATACATAGTCTAGGGTATACTTGGTCCAAGACTTTTTCTCTGTGTGTTCTATGCACACATTATGTGCACAAGGAAGCATGAACCTACAGAGGCCAGGGGACAGCATCATGTACTATCACTTTCCACCTTATTCCCTTGAGTCAGTATCTCTGACTAAACTGAAGCTTGCTGTTTGGGCTGGACTGGCAGCCAGCATGGGCCAGTGACCCTTGTCCCCACCACCCCACCACAGCACTGGGGCTACAGGCACAGGCAGTCGCACCCAGCATTTTTATGAGTGCTGGGGACTGAAGTCAGGTCCTCATGCTTGCAGAGCAAGCACTCGTTACCCACTGAGCCATTTCCCCAGGTGTTCGATAGAAGAGGCTGAACTTGTGGCATGGCCCAGAACTGAGCCTGTCTCCTTGGGTACCCTCAATCATCACTGACCAGAACCCTACTTGTTCAGGACCAGGACACAGGAAGGAACTTGAGGCTGCTACCACCTGTCAGTAAGCCACTCCAGTACAACCAACGTACCTATTTGACTCTTTAACATCTATTCAGCAACCAACAGATGCTGAGGGTCTATTGTGTGTCACTCTTTCTGGCTACATACTAGACCCTGAGGATACCACAGGAAATAGAAGAAACCTTGGGAAGCTCAAGATGTTGTACTTACTCACCCGACACCCAGGAAGTGGGAAGGCTGACATTACAGATCACCTGGATGGGGCTATCCCAGTGTGCTCAAAATCAGTGAAGCGGCCAGGATGGGTGAGACAGAGCAGAAGAAGAAAATTAGCCAAGGTAAGAACCATGGCCTTTGCTGAGTGAAACAGGAGTGGCTAAGCACTGTAGACTTTTAAAAGGCTCTCACTGGCTGCTGTTGAAAACAGACTGGCAACTTCTAATAGTAGCAGCTTTACCTTAATAAACCACAGCAACTCCTCCAAAACACCCTTCCAGAATACTCGTTTGGTCGTGAGCAGAGGAAATTCATCTGAAAAATAGTTTGTCACACAGTTAAACCATGGGACAATAGAACAAGCCACATCCAACTTTCTCTATGGAAGGAAACTGCCTGGGACACAAAAGCCCTGGAGTGATGGCAGGAATAATCAGGACCTGCAACTCTTGCCCTGCTGCATCACAATGCAGTGACTGCACAGGCGGTCCCCCCAGTGACACAAGTGGGATGCCCATGTGGAAAAGACCAAGAGCTCCCACCCATTACTTGGCCAGTGCGAATCCTGTCACTGAGGTGTGATGGCAACACCCAAAATGTGCCCCAAGACACAGTCTAAAGGCTCCCACCCCAGATTCCACCAGGCTCCTGCCAGAGAAAGCAGACTCGGCCAGGAGAGAGGAGACATCACAGTGGTGAGAACTAAAGAATAGTTTTCAAATATTTAGACAACAAAGTGACTTTTTTTTTTTTTTTTTTGTCTTTTTTGAGACAGGGTCTCCCTGTAGCCCCAGCTGTCCTAGAACTCACTATGTAGACCAGGCTGGCCTCGAACTCACAAAGATCTGCCTGCCTCTGCCTCCCAAGTGCTGGTATTAAAGGCTTGACCTGTTATTTTTAAGTCTATCAAAAACAGCAACTGTTTAAACACTTTATGTGCACAAACCTATTTAATCCTCAGAATGACCAACCTCGGGGAATTTTCTAATCATCACTTTACAAGCATTAAGCGGCAACACAGAAGTTTGCACAGCTTAAGAGACAGAGGGGGCAGAACTGCCAAGTTGACTGGAGGGAGAGCCTGGCTATAGACTGTTACAGCATGAGCACTATTTTCTCTGTCTTTGATACCTACACGGGAAAGCAGAAGGAAAACCAAAGTAGTAACTCGCCACAGTCTAAGCAGACGGACTGGATTAAACATTGGTCTGTGGTTCATGCGAGTCCTCTGCCCTCGGCTGGCCAGTGCATAGGATTCCTCGGCTTAGAGAAAACTGCAAAAGCTGCTGCAGAACCAGAGGCAGGTGTAGGCTTTCCCTGTGACTACATGAGCCTTAAACACCCTGGAGTCCTGGGGGCCCACACCTGTCGTCTCAGCAGAGGCAGAGGCAGACGGATCTCTGGTGAGCTCGTGACCAGCCTGGTCTACAAGGTGTTCCAGCAATATAGTGAGAACCTGTTTCAAAATGACAAAACAGCAAAACACACACACACAAAAAAAAAAAACCCAAAAAGTAAACCCCCACACACAGAAACATGGGGTGCCCCCCCCCACAATTGAGCGGTTCACAATCCAGGATGGCAGAGGTGCCCTTCCCAACCCCTCCCTTGGTCCCCGGAAAGCCTGAAGCCAACAACTCAAAGAGGATGATTTTTCCCTGGAGCCATTCTGAAGGAAGAGAGAAAAGCGGATGTCTAGGCGCCCCTCCTTCCTCTTTAAAAGGCTGGGCGATAGGCGGGACCTCTCGGCCCTCCCCTTTCGTCGCGCCTCCGCATCCCCGCCCAGGCCACTCTTGGCTCCAGCTTTTTTAAAGTTACGAAGGCAAACAGTCGATAAAGGGAGGGCAGAGGAGGAGCAAAGATGAGGACCTCTGGACTTCCGCTAGGTCAAGCCCGGGCAGAGCTCTCCAGAGCACGACTGGAGGGGGACTCGCTTGGGAGAACAAGGGCAGAAGAGCCCTTTACACCCGGTTGACCAGCTGTGGCTGTCACTCCCACGTGCGGCCCTAAAGGGATGCGGAGCTAAGCGCCCGGGGGCCGGGGTGAGGACCAACCGTGGCCCGCCGCCCCCGCCTCCACGCGCTCCCCGCCCAGCCCGCCGGGCACCCCCCGGTGGTCCCTCCCGGCCAGCCGCGACGGCCGCGCTCACCTCTCAGGCTGTAGCGCGCCTGCATGCCGAACACCGACAGGGTGCCGGTGCCGGTGCGGTCCTCCTTCCTGAAGCCGCAGCGCAGGATGTGCTGCACCTGCCCCAGGTACTGCAGCTCCCCGTGTGGCGAGGACTCGGCGCCCCGCTGCTGCGCGGGGGGCGGCAGCTCCGGGCCGGCGACAGGCATAGCGGAGCAGACGGCTGAGGTGCGGTTGGCGCCAAGGCTGAGGACCTTCCGCGCGCTCTTTCTCCTCCGCTGCTCTGCGCTCCGCCTCTTCCTGCTGGGAAACGTCTGGCAGGTCTGAAGCAGCCAACCCCGCACGCAAGTGTGCTTGGGGTGCCGGGCAAACACGCGCCAGCTTTCCTAATTCTCTTGAATTTGCCCGAACTCAACAGTTAAGAACCTTTGGAAACCCGGCGTGGTGACGCAGGCCTGCAAGCTGGAGGATCAGGAGTTTAATAAAGGCAATCCTCCGCTACATAGCGAGTTCAAGGCCGTCCTGGGCTACAGCAACCCTTGTATCGAAATAACAAAAATAACCTCTGACTTAGACTTGAGTGCCAGATGCGTTGGCCGAGAAGCGTCTCCTTCTCCAAGCGGGAGAGGACTTGCTTGGTCTCGTGGATTCAAACTTAAAAACAAAACCCTTGGGTTTCCTACAACTAAGGACATAGCAGCAAGTGATTCATATTAGTATCTCTTTATTTCCGCTGCCTTCCTGAAGGCTGGCTGCTGGAGTAAGTGGAATGGTGCAGGTGTTTGAAATTGATGATGGCCTTTCACCGTTTCGGCTTTTTTTCCCCCAACATGAATTTATTTGTATGTGGTGTCTGTGTGTGTTTCAGTTGTTCGCTTCTTACATGAGGGGAGAGAACTCAGGACATTCAGGCTTGGTGGCCAGCGCTTTACCAGCTGAGCAATCGCCTGACCTCAGCCTTTCAAGTTTTTAATGCCACATTTTTCAGTTTTTGTTTGGTTGGTTGGTTTGGGTTTTTTTTTTTTATTGTTGTAGCTGTTGAGACAGGGTCTCTCTGTAGCCCCAAGTGGCCTGGCATTTTTTGTGTAGACCCTGCTGGCCTGGATCTCACACAGATCTGCCTCCCAAGTGGTGTGTTTAAAGGCATGCCACCAAACCCAACATTTATCCGTTTTAAGGAAAGGTTTATAAGGTAAACCTTAGTGAGTAGAACTACAGAGAGTTTCAAATGTACTAATACATGTATTGTGCATGCAAACAAGCCATCTTCTGTATCCAACACTTAATTGAATACGTTATAGGTGCTCCTAGGATGTGGGCTCTGCTGAAAAATACCAAACACTATTGATGTTTGTCTTGGTCTTGGGAACTGGACCTGAGACTTCCCATATGCTCACACTACCATTGAGCAGTATCCCCAGCCCAAGTTTGTGTTCCTTTGTTTTTTCTGGTTATCTCAAGTTTGTTGTTTTTTGCATGTGATATGCTTGGGCTCAGTATACCCGCCCCCCAAAGGTCCATGTGTTAAGGGCTTGGGCACCAGCCTGCGGTGCTGTTAGAAGATGGTGGAATCTTTAGCAAGTTGGTCTTGTGGCCAGAAGTAGTCATTCTTGAAGGTCTTACTGGGATCCTGGCTGCTTCCTATTTCTGTCTTTGCTTCCTTCCAGTCATGATGAAAGCAGTGTCTCACTTCACTCCTGCTCACATCAGAAAGCCATGCTGTGCCGTGATAAAGTACAGTGCTTTGCCCCACAGACAAGACAGCAAGTAAACCAAACAACCATGTTGTGAAACCTTCAGCCATAAAAGCCTTCCTAAGTTGATTGTCTCTGGTATTTTGTTACAGTAAGGAGAAGCTAACAAAGCAAGATTCTCCTATCTTTCTGCCGAGCTGCAACCAGAAAAATCTCAAGTTTAAGATTTTTTTTTTTTTTTGGTCTTTTTG